TACTCAAGAATTTGTTATTGAGATAATATTTACTTATAAACTTTTATTGGCTCACCATAACACAGTGATTTTTATCAAGCTGCCTCTAGTAGCAATGAGTCTGTTGTTACCACCACATGAGTAATTGTAATATATTGAAATTTAGTGAGGTTTATTATAGCATATTCCAAACTATTATATTGTGATTTCACTCTAATAATTGATAAAGCATTCATATTACTACCTAATAGGCTGTTGACTAGGAGAAGTCAAGAAGAGCCACTGAAGTAAGAAGTATATGATACTAATATACATATAAAAGAAGCTCAATAAATGTTGAAGATTAAAGAAAAGTGCATTTTTTATTTTTCAGCTATATCAAAACCACATTTTTTTAGCTCAGCAACAGAAATTACTCAAAATATTTTTTAGTTTTCTGTCTTGCTAACCAGTAGCACAGCACAGAGCCTATTAAGAAATTAACAATCATTTATTGAGTACCTGTTATGTATGAAACACTCTTAATAGGTGTACTTTAAGGGATAAAAAAGAATAAAGTATGTTTTCTGTTCTCCAGCATCTTATTACCTGTTCCAGAAGAGATGTCTGAATCAAGTGAAGCTATTCATGAATTATGCTAGCTAGTATTTAATTACATGATAAAATCAAGGACTGCCTTGAGTTATAGAGAGATGATCGCCTTCTTGAAATTTAGCATTAACAAGACCACACCACAGCAGGCGGATCTAATATTGTATTTTTCCGATGAGTCGGTTTGTCATAGAAAATTGAATGCATTATACAAGTATGATATTAGGCTTTAAAAATATACTTGTGGGCTGCCTTTTCAGAATGTTCAAAACTAAGCTTTGTTGGTTTGCTCCCTTTCATAGAGAAATTGTGATGGAACAGGCGCTATGTACTTCATAGGCTGTGGTTATAATGCTTTCCCTGCTGGATCCGAGTATGCTGACTTCCCAAACATGGATGACAAACAGAAAGACAGAGAAATAAGGAAATTCAGATACATCATACATGCAGAACAGAATGCCTTGACATTTAGGTATGAAACTCGTTTGCATATATTTTCTTTAAAATGTAGCAAGGGTTAGTTGCAATTCTTTTTCTTTTAGCTGTGATTTATTTCCTTTTTTAAAATTCCCCCAAATATTCTATAACTAAAACGTAACTTTAGTTATAGTTGGTCTTTCCTGCCTGACCTGAAGCCGTTGTCAGAGATCTTACAGGCCTTCATATTTATTGAGATTCTCCTCGCCCTTTTCCTTTTCTCTCCAGTGTAAAACTGTGTGAAGTATGTCTGTAGGGTCTTGTATATTTCTGGAACCTAAGCCCTTCTTTGTTTTCTAAATCTAGAGTACATATTTTGTATTTATGACTACATAGATTTTGTTATGAACCAAGTTGCTCTAACATAGTTTTTGTTAAAGATTACAACTGGCATTACCTCCTTCTAATGTTAATTTAGATAATTTCCAAACATTTCTCAGCATTAACCATTAAGGGGTGATCTTCGGGTAGTCAAACCTGAATAAAACATGGCTCCCGTCCTTAGGAGCTTATATTACAGCAGGGGCTATAACACAGCCTTCATCCTAAGGTGATCAGTTGTGTGGGAAAGGCCAACACAAGTGCTGTGGAAAGTCAGGGCGGCTACGACTGCAGGGGGCATGGGAGGGAAAAGCTTTAGGGAGAAACTGGCACTCGAGCTGAGCTTTGAAGATTTGCTAGGGTTGCAGCAATTGGAAATGCTTACTTGCAGGGAAGTCATCCTTGCTTTAGGTGTAACAGTGGTCTAGAAGTAGGAAAAATGCTTCTGTGTGTAGGAAAATGAATGAATATTGCTGTTAGGCTGGACCGCGGAGCACCTGGGATTAGGCTGAGACTGGGTAGGGAAGACTGAGTTTAGACTTCATTGAGGAGGTAATGGAGAAATGGAATGGCATTGACAGAGCCACACTACTGATTGCTTGAGTTGCAGGTGTATTGTTGGAAAAGACTAGGTGCATGAAATTCTGTTGCCCTAGTCCAGATGAACAGAATGAGTCTGAGCTAGGGAGGTGGATATGGAAGGCGGGTCGCAGTGTCAGACAGCTGACTGACAGTGGTGTAAACCGCAGAACTGGGAAGTACAACCCCTGTAGCCTCAGGTGAGAGCATCCCTTAGTCCTAAACTACTCCCAGTCAACAACTCTCTCTTCTTTTCCTTGTGCTGTTCATTATAGATTTAATTGCTTCGTTTAGTTTGGAGATATGGATCTGTTAAATCCAAACATTTGTTAAGTAAAATCCTGCATTAGGGAGAGAACAAGGGAACTATAACTCAAAACGGAATTTTAAGATTAACTTATGAATTTAGTAAGCATTTATTAAATATCCATTAAGTACCAGATAAGGGGGTACATCTTTTGGCTACTGTGATGAATTATGTCTAATCATGCATCATAAACTTTTAAGAAGAGTATTAGTTCTAGCCCCTAATTCTCTCTCGCTCTCTTGCTCTCTGTGTCTCTGTTTTCATTTGCTTTGTAATTTAATACTGAAATTTTGCCAGATTGCTTAGAATAAATGAATGAATTTTAGTTAGAATAATTGTCGTGTTCAGGTTATATTTCAACATTTATGCATTTTTGTATTTTTAACATTCACTAATTAGCGAGAATAAGGTTTGCTTATCATTGTTTATAATGTTGTAAACCTGTTCTTAAAGCAGCTCAATTTTAGTTTTTAAAGATTTCTATAAAATATAACTTACCCTTTCAGAAACTACCTTCTTAATATTTTATATGTTTTTTGTAGGTGTCAAGAAATAAAACCAGAAGAAAAAAGTATGATTTTTGTGACAAAGTGCCCATGTGATGAGTGTGTCCCTTTAATTAAAGGTGCAGGGATAAAACAAATCTATGCAGGGGATGTAGATGTTGGAAAAAAGAAGGCAGACATCTCTTACATGCGATTTGGGGAACTTGAGGGTGTTAGCAAATTTACAGTAAGTAGATACACACTTTTTTCAAATATTATGTTGTTTGGTGTCCTGCTGCATAGTTTAGTAATTCCAGCCCTTTTAAAGAGTTTCGACAAACTATTATCATTGAGTTTATTTTTATGTGCAAGCATTTGCTAATTACAAATCTTCTGTTTAGGATCTCTGCCTCACGAATTTACATCTCTATAGAAAGTTGTAGGTGAGCTTTACCCATCTTGAATCAGTAGACCCTTTGGTGCCATCTGGTGGTTAACAAGAGAAAATCCACCTCTTCTCTCACCCTCCCTTCTGTTTTAGAGTGAAAATAGTTTAGAGATGAAAATAGTTTAAGATTACCCAAAGATGGGGAGGGACACACACATACCCACACATGCATACAACACACAACACACACACATTTTTCCTGAGAAAAATCAGGAAAAGTTAGAAGGGATTTAATATTTTATATATCTAAAAAAGTGCCGAGGTAATTTATGGAAAACTCAGAACTTTAACTCTTTATATTTTTTTACTATGTAGGTTTTTAAAACTTTTTTTTTTTAGAAACAATGGCAGACATATAGGAAAATTACAAAAACACTACCAAGAACTTTTTTTTCTAGAAACATTTGAGAGTACATTGTTACCATGATACCAAATCACTCTCATATACTTTATTGTGTATTTCCTCAAACAGTATATTCTTTCTTGTAATCATAATAAAATCACAAAATTCAGGAAATTATCATTGATACATTACTGCTGTTTCATCCACAGATTCCAATCAGTGTTCACCATATGTCCCAATAATATCCTGTATAGCAAAAGGATCCTCTCCAGAATCATGTTACTTTTTAATGATAATTCTGGCATTTAATGTAACATTTATATACTACAATTTGCAGTGGGTAGAAATGGCATATAATAGAACTGTTTATACATTTCAACTTTACATTCCTGTTTGAGTCCAGGGTGCCTGGAACATAAAAAGCACCTAAGAGATATTTATTAAACTATATATATATATTTACATATATATATAAATAATACACATATAAAATATATATATATTTACATATATATAAATAATACACATATAAAATGTTAAAAAATTTAAAAACATAATACCATACTATCTAGTTTCTGTCTGTATATTAAGTATCATAAATTTTTACCCTTTTTATTTTTGTCCTGTGCTTCTGTTTTCATTTCAGTTTTATTTAAAGTTTATCATGACTTTAAAAAGAAAAGGGGAGGCACTGAAAGAAGGGAGAGATGGGAAAGACGCCTCTTCTGTAAAACTAAACAAAAGCTACATCCAGCTAGTCCAGGAGAAATCTCCAGTTCTGTGTTTTTCTTTTCTATCTCTTTGTTCCTCCTAAAGAGTGGGAAGAAATAGATTTTTCTAATTCTCTTCATAAAGATTAGGTGACCTAGCTCTTCAGTACTGTGAGTGATGGGTTAAGTGAATTCTGAAATTTCTTGCTTACTGGTGGATTTTAGTAGCTTTTTAATTATAAAGAGAATGAAGAGATCAGAAGAATGTCAGGGCAAGAGAAGTGGAAGGAGCCAGGAAGGCAAAGGCAGTGAAAGCCCTTTGGGCAGAGGTGGGATGCAGAAACACCTGTTGAGCCAAGACCCATCCAGGAATACCCTTGCTCAGGTGCACTTGGTTCTTCTCTGTACTCTTTCCGGAGAGGATTAGCCGTGCACCCTTCCCTCTCTTCCCTCATCTGGCCTGGCTTACAATCATGTAAATGATTTAAACCACCTGGTTAGCTAAACACCTAATTTTATAAATATCAGTAACTAACATGAACTAGTATTTGTTCTAAATTTGAATTTTAGTAATGATTACACTTACTTTTAGACTGTCAAAAGTAGTATAAGAGTATCAACAAACTTGATTTTTTTAAAGATTAAAGCAAGCGAAATTAATTTTGTGTAAAAAAGGTTTGCTTTTCTCTTTGAGGTGTTACCATATACCTTGTGATAAGTGGTTCTGTTTTGTGGGGTTATTGCAAACTAGTCTATGTCTAGGCAACAGTATTTTCAAGAATAGATTTTATCCGTATAAACCCAAGTCCATTTACTCAGAAACTCTTTTTTAAAAAAAATTTGATACCTATATATTTGTCTCTATTAGATCATATTAGTTTTTTATTATAAAAATAATATGTGCTCAATGTAGAGAACTAGGAAAATAAAAAAGAACCAATATTATCCCACAACTCATAGATACTACTGGTAACATGTTATATGTCTCATTGAAAATTCTTCAAAAATAGTTTTTAATAATTACACAAATTTTTAATCTGTAGACATACCTTATTTAACCATTCCCCTGTTGATGAACATCCAGATTGCATCTAAGTTTTTACAGTTAGAAATAGTCTTTTTATGGTTATCCTTAAATGTAAATTCAGGAGTACTCATTTTTACTTTGCCCAAATTAATAGATTTTAGTGGTTTGACATGTTTTAAAACATGCCTTTAAAAAATTTTTTTCATACATACCTTCCCACCCCTTGTAAGTACTCTTTTTCTTGGTGTTAACCCTAACCATCCCATTTATATAGGTGACCAACCAGTTCTAGATGTCCTCCCTCCCAAAGACTTTTTTGTACACGTGGCGAAATGTTTTTCTTGTACCTCATCCCCTCTTCAAGGCCCATGATATTCACTACTTTATCTAATGAACTAACTGATGCTGTGGAAGAGTCTCTCAGGTACTAAACAGCTTTATTTGTCTTTCTGGAGGTAGTGCCCTCGTGGGGCCTTTTCGGTTAAGTCATTTGTGATTCTGATGACAGGGCTTTCTAGCCAAGGAGGGAAGGAAGGGCTTAGCTATGAGATGTTGATTATACTCTTTTTTTTTATCTGCTGCTCCAGTCTTCTCCGTAATATCTGAGAATCTTCAGGCTTCCTTATTTATTTCTGAATGGTTAAGATGGAAAACTATAATCAGAGGTGTGATATAATATATATGATATAATTGTATGACATAAGTATATTAAAAGGCAAGATAATCTTGGTCATGTTTTTATTCTTTAATATCTAGGCCTTCTCTAGCTATTATAAGATCTGTAGGGCCTGGAGATTGAGTGTGAGGTGGTAAAAATTCTCTAACATTGGGCACAGGTAGACCCAGAATCTAATTTTATTGCTGCCTTTAGTTAGTGTGTAACCTTGGGCAAGTCATTACTGTTCTCTGTTCTTCTACTTCCTTACCTGTAAAATGAAGGTAAAGGATCTTTAAAGTTCATACCTTCTCTAAGAATATTGATTCTGATCCCAGCAGTCTTATCATTCAGGGTCATTCAAGGTCATTAAGGCTTGGTTGATACAGACATGCTAACTCTTTTCATCTTATACTTTTAAAGTTGTTTTGATATTTGAAAGCAGGGTGCTGAAATGCTATTTATAAAATCTTTGTTAAACATATAAATAAAATATTTGTGCCCTTTTGCAGTGGCAGCTGAATCCATCAGGAACTTGTGTTCTTGAACAAAATGAGCCTGAAAGCAGAGAGAGTAAGTATTTACAAGGCCTTTATTGAGGTTGCTGAGAAGAGAGGATACGTTGTGAGTTTTAATGGTCAGGTGTTGGAAATTGTTGTGGTCTTAGATGGAACATACTCTTTTTGCAGGTTAGGTTTTTCGCCATCAATTTGCTCACATTTATGTATCTGCTGTATGTTAGGGATGATGGAAAGTGCTGGCTAATAATCAATCCTGCAGAATCTGCAGTTTAATAAAAATAATCGTGTACAAATAGAGTTTATAAATTAAATTTATATGAAACAGTAAACAGAAATGTTCTTCCATACCAAAACAAAAGCTTCTTGGGCAGTTTGAAAGGAAAAATACATATAATTAATACAGATGGATCTAGGGCCAAATTATGAGGATATATACATTCTTATTAGAGTAAAGCCACGTTTGTTCAGATTGGTCAGAGACTGGAAATGTTCCGATTATTTGCATAATCTAATGACTTAGAATCATCATAGCTTCGGTAAATGAACTACTAGTCTTAAAAGCTTTATTATTTGCATATTGACAGATATTTTGAATGTAATATAATCTTTGGGAGATCTTGTAATTCCTTAGGCACATAAATTTGAACATTAGTTACTGGTGCACAATATTATTTTTAAATATTAGTTATGTTATCTTTTTGATGGATTCTAAGTAAATAGAAGTTTAGTATAATAAGTAAGTTTTCTTCATAATAACAATGATTTGATTACCCTTTAAAAAATCGAGAAATATAAAGGTCTTTATTAAAATAATTTCCATGTGAATATCTTGATTTTCTGTGTTCTGAATTAGCTTTCTTTTATTCAGTTGTAATTCTTAAATTTGTAATCTGGAAAAAAAATGTTTATTCTCCATCTTTTTAAAAATCTATCAGGAAAAATAATGAAAGAAAAAAGAACAAATAAAATATATATAGATCTGATTAAAGAATGTATAGTCAATAAGTGTTTGAGGGGGTTAATTAATAATTCCTTGTTGTTAGGGAAAGGACTCAAATAGCACTAATCATAAAAGATGAATTAACTTATGTTAAACTTATCCGTTCATCAAAAGATATCATTAAAACAGTACAAAGGAAAGCCATGGAATAGGGAGAGATATTTGCCACTCATACTGAACAAAGGGCTTGTATCCAGGGTTCGTTGCTCCTAGATCACTAAGGAAAAGGAAGACAAAAACGCTGTAGATTAGAAGTCCCAAGATTGGAGGGAGGGCTACGTGATTAGGAGAAAACAAGAGAAAGGCATCTGCTTTACTGGAAATGTTTTATTTATTGACCTGGATGATGGTTAAATGTATGTTTGCTTTGTAACAGTTCATTCAATTGTAAGTTTATGTTTTGTATTCATTTTCAAACAAGTGTTTTATATCAATAAATAATATTCCTGTCTTTTTCAGTGTTACGACAGATTTGAGATATAATTCATATATCATAAATTTGCCCTCTGAAGTGTAGAATTCAGTGGTTTTTATATTTTCAGAGTTGTGCAACCATCACCACAACCTAATTTCATAACATTTTCATCATCTCAAAAAGAAACTTCTTACTCATTTGTAGTCGCTCCCATTTCTACTACCCCCAACCCCAGACAACCACTAATCTACTTTGTTTTTTTGAATTTGCATATTCTGGCTATTTCATATAAATGGAATCGTATATATGTGATTCTTTTCTAATTTTGGTTTCAGCTGAGAAACAGACATAGGAATCAAACAGATGAAAATTAAAACACCAGCTTATTGCTAGACTAGGGCTTGACCTTTGGCTAAATCACACTTGATGGTATTTTTCCAAACTTACCTTTCCTATCTACCTCTCTCCACCATCAAGTCTAGACCTTGAAAGGGGTATTCAAGGGAGAACCTGTCCAACTCTGAGAGGACTTGTGCTGATTTATACCCCCTCAGGAACAAAAAGAGAAGGGAGGGAGACAGGCAATGTAACTGACTACTCTCAGGTGGTCTTCCTCAATTTAACTGGAACTCAAATAACCCATAACAAATATTCTTTTTTAAGGTATCACAGGGCTTTGAAGAAAATAAGGGAAATATTCAGATACTCCTGTTCCCCTAGGGAAAAATAGAAGAGGAATAGTTCGTTAGAATATAAATAGCAACAGCCAGCAAACAGGAAAGCCAGGTTACCTTGGAGACAAATGTCCGTATAAATTGGGATCTTGAAGATAAGTCTGAGATCTGCTGCAAAGAAGAAGAACTAAGCCCGAGGGTCCTTCATTAAGCTTGGGGTCCTCCAAGGATGCCAAAATGCCCTCACTCAGGTTACCTTCTGGCAGAAGCAAATGCAGATTCTCTCAGAAGGAAAATGATCCTGACTTAGGCCCACAGGATATAATAAAATATGAACTCGTAATTGAAAAATTACCAAACACAGGTGAAGATGTCACTATGAGTAAGAGGGAACAGAAACAACAAATAGCATATTTAGACTCCCAAGGACTTCATGCTTTGGAGTTATAAAATAGAGGATATAAAATGTTTAGGAAGTAAAAGCTGCTATTGGAAAAAGAGCAAGGAACAAGCAATTATGAAAAAATACGTTTGTTAAAAAAACTCTGGCTCAGTTAAATCACTGTTAATTGATGGCATGCTTTTGGTATTTCAAGTGGTAGAAGTTCATCCATGAATTGTGGAACATTTAGCATCCCTGACAGAGATGGCAATGCATGTCACGCTGTAAGAATAGAGTGTTCAATTTATAGTGCTGAAAAATTATTTTTCTATGTAGAAAAAGTGATATTGGATTCTTACGTCACATAATACACAAAAATCAGTTACAAAAAATTAAAGACTTAAATGGAAAAGGTAAATATTTTTGCATTTTTTAATTGAGAGTTTATTTTTAGAGCAGTTTTAGGTTCACAGAAGAATTGAGGGGAAGGTACAGAGAGGTCCCATGACCCCTGTCCCCACACGTGAGTAGCCTCCCCCATTATCCACATCTTCCTCGTTGTGCTGCATTGGTTACAACTGATGAACCAAAATTGACACATAAAAATCATCCAGAGTCCACAGTTTACATTATAGGTTCACTCTTGATATTGAGCATCCAGTGGGTTTAGATAAATACATAATGACATGTATCCATCATTATGGTATCATACAGCATATTTTCACTGCCCTAAAAATTCCCTGTGCTCCACTTGTTCATCCTTCCCCTCTCTCCAGCTCCTGGCAAACATTGATTTTTTTTTTTTTAACTATAGTTTTCCTTTTCCAGAGTGTTACATAGTTGGAATCATATAGTAGTCACCTTTTCAGACTAGCTACTTTCACTTCGTAATGTGCATTTAAGGTTCCTATCTGTTTTTTCATGGTTTGATAGCTCATTTCTTTTTGTGCTGAATGAGATTCCGTTGACTGGATGTACCAGTTTATTTATCCATTCACCTAATGAAGGACCTCTTGGTTGTTTCCAAGTTATGGAAATTATGAATGAAGCCGCTATAAATATCTGTGTGCATTATTTTTTCTTTTTGGCGTGGACATGTTTTCACCTCCTTTGGGTAAATACCAAAGAGCGTGATTGCTGGATCACATGGCAAAAGCATATTTAGTTTTGTAAGAAATTGCCAAACTGTCTTCCAAAGCAGCTGTACCATTTTGCATTTCCACCAGCAAAGAATGAGTTTCTGATGCTCTTCCTCCTCTAGCATTTGGTGTATAGATTTTGGCCATTCTGATGGTTGTGTAGTGGTGTCTTTTTTTCATTTGCATTTCCCTGATGACATATAATGTAGTACATCCTTTCATAGGCTTATTTGCCACCTGTATGTATCTTCTTTAAATATTGACTTTTGTATATTAAACTCGTATCCTGCAACCTTGATGTAATCACTTATTACTCTTAGAAGGTTTTTTTGTCGATTCTTTTGGATTTTCTACATAGATGATCATATCATCTGTGAACAAAGACAGTTTTATTTCTTTTCAATCTGTATACCTTTTATTTCCCTTTCTTGTCTTACTGCGTTAACTAGGACTTCTAGTATGATGTTGAGAAGGAGTGGTGAAGGGGACATCCTGGCCTTGTATCTCTTCATAGTGGGAAAGCTTTAAGTTTCACACCATTAAGTATGATGTTAGCTGTAGGTTTTTTCTAGATATTTTTTTATCAAGCTGAGGGAGTTCCCCTATTCTTAGTTTACTGAGAGTTTTTATCATGAATGTTTGGTGTTGGATTTTGCCAAAAGCTTTTTCCTCATCTATTGATATGAACATGTGGTTTTTCTTTTTTAGCCTGTTGATATGATAGCTTACATTAATTGATGTTTGAATGTTGAACCAGCCTTGCATACCTGCGATAAATCCCACTTAATTGTGGTATATAATTCTTTTTAGACATGGATGAATTTTGTTTTGCTGATTTTTCATTGAGGATTTTTGTATCTATGTTCATGAGAGATACTCAAGTGTCTGTAGTTTTTGTTTTCTTGTAATGTCTGTTTCTAGTTTTACTATTAGGGTAATACTGGTCTTATAGAATATTCCCTCTGCTTATATCTTCTGAAAGAGATTGTAGAAAAATGGTATTATTTCTTCTTTAAATGTTTGGTAGAATTTACCAGTGAACCCATCTGCCCCTAATACTTTCTGTTTTGGAATGTTGTTAATTATTGATTCAATTTCCTTAATAGATATTTAGGAAATATTTAGGTCTATTTAGATTGTCTATTTCTTCACGTGTGAGTTTTGGCAAATTGTGCCTTTCAGGGAATTAGTTCATTTCATCTAGGTTATCAAATTTGTGGGCATAAAATCGTTCATAGTTTGCCTTTATTTTCCTTTTAATGTACATGGGATCTGTAGTGATGTCCTTTTCTTCATTTCTGATATTGGTAATTTGTGTCCCCTCTCTTTTTTTTCTTAGTTAGCCTGGCTATAGGCTTGTCAATTTTGTGGATCTTTTCAAAGACTCAGCTTTTGGCTTCATTGATTTTCTTTATTTCCTGTTTTCAATTTCATTGATTTCTATTCTTTTGCTTATCATTTCTTTTCTTTTGCTTACTTTAGACTTAATTTGTTCTTTTTCTAGTTTTCTAAGATGGAAACTTAGATTATTGATTTTAGATCATTATTCTTTTCTAATATATTCATTCAATGCTATAAGTTTTCCTCTAAGCATTGTTTTCACTGCATTCTACAAATTTTGATAAGATGTGTTTTTATTTCTCTTTAGTTTTAAACTATTTTAAAATTTCTCTTGAGATTTCTTCTTTGACTCCCATTTTACATAGAAGTGTGTTGTTTAGTCTCCATGTATCTTGGGATATTCCAGTTATCTTTCTGTTATTGATTTCTAGTTTAATTCTATTGTGATCTAAGAGCAGACATTGTACGATTGTATTCTTTTAAATTTGCAAAGGTATGTTTTATGGCCCAGACTGTGGTCTATATGGTGAGTATTCTGTGTGAGGTTGGGAGGAATGTGTATCTGCTGACGTTGGATCAAATAGTTGTTGATATTGACTATATTCAGTTGATTGATGGTGTTGTTGAGTTCAACTATTGTCCTACTGATTTTCTGCCTGCCAAATCTATCTTTTTCTGATGGAAGAGTATTGAGGTCTCCAACTATGATAGTGGAGTCATCTATTTCTCTTTGCAGTTCTGTTAGGCTCATATGGTTTAATGCTCTGTTTTTAGGTGGATATACATTAAGGATTATTATATCTTCTTAGAGAATTGACCCCTTTATGTAATGCCTTTCTTCACTCCTGATAACTTTTCTTGTTTCGAAGTCTGAAATTAATATAGCTACTCCTGCTTTCTTTTGATTAGTGTTACCATGGTATATTTTTCTTCATCCATTTACTTTTAATTTATATGTATCTATATTTACCATGGATTTCTTGTAAAGGATATATAGTTGAGTCTTGTTTGTTTGTTTTTTTTATCAACTCTAACAATCTCTGTCTTATAATTAGTGCATTTAGAGCATTGATGTTCAAAGTGATTAATGATATGGTTGGATTAATATCTATCATTTTCATTACTGTTTTCTTTTTGTTGCCCTTGTTCTTTGTTCCCGTTTTTATCTTCCACTTCATTCTGCCTTTTGTGGTTTTAATTGAACATTTTATATGAATCTATTTTCCTTCCTTTCTTCATGTATTGGTATACTTCCTTTTTTAGAAAATTTATTTACATATGTCCCTTTTAAAAAACTTTTTAAAGTAAAAAAATAGTTTGCAATATACATTTATAGCCTATCCAAGTCAATTTTCAAATAGTACTACATCACTTTAAGGGTAATATGAGTACCTTAAAGTAACAAAATAATCCTAATTCCTCCCTCCCATCCTTTGTATCATTGTTGTCATTTATTTCACTTATATGCATGCATACATAAACATATAAGTATGTTCATAAAATATATGCCTAGGCGTGCATAATACATTGTTGGTTTTATTATTTTGAACTATTACCTGTTAGATTAATTAAGAATAAGAGAAATAACATTTTTATTTTACCTTCATTTATTCTTTCTTCAATGTTCTTCTTTATTTTATGTAGATCCAAGTTTCTGGCCAATGTTATTTTCCTTCTCTCTGAAGAACTTTTAACATTTCTTGCAAGGCAGATCTGTTGGCAGTAAATTCCCTCAATTTTTGTTTGTCTGAGAAAGTCTTTATCTCTCCTTCACTTTTGAAAGAATTTCTCAGGGTATAGAATTCTAGGTTGGTGGGTTTTTTCTCTCAACACTTTAAATTTCACTCCACTCTTGCTTGCACAGTTTTACATCTGGGAAGTCAGATGTAATTCCTATTTTTGTTCCTCTATAAGTAATGTATTTTTTTCCTGCGGCTGCTTTCAGGATTTTTTCTTCTTCTTTGATTTTCTGTAGTTTGAAAATGACATGCCTAGGCGTAGTTTTTGGGCACTTAATTCTGCTTGCTGTTTTTTGAGTTTCCTACGTCTGTGTTTTGGTGTCTGACATTAATTTGGGGAAATTTTCAGTCATTATTATTTCAAATGTTTCTTCTGTTTCTTCTGTTTCTTTCTCTGTTTCTTCTTCTGGTATTCTCATTATGCATATGTTACACCATATGTAGTTGTCCCATAGTCATTGGATATTCTCTTGGTTTTTGTAGTCTGTTCTCTTTGCTTTTCAGTTTTCAAAGATTCTATCGAAATATCCTCCAGCTCAGAGATTCTTTCCTCAGCAGTGTTCAGTCTACTAATAAGACCATTAAAGGCATTTTCTTCATTATGATATGGTGTTTTTTATCTCTAGCATTTCTTTTTGGTTCTTTCTTAGGATTTTCATATTTCTGCTTACATCGTTCATGTGTTCTGCCATGCTGTCTACTTTGTTCATTAGCGCCCTTAACATATTAATTATAGTTGTTTTAAATTTCCAGTCTGATAATTCCAGCTTCCCTGCCATGTCTGGTTCTGATGCTTGCTCTCTCTCTTCAAATTGCGTTTTTTGCCTTTTAGTATGCCTTGCAATTTTTTCTTGATACCCAGACATGAGGCACCAGGTAAAAGGAACTGCAGTAAATTGGCCTTTAGTAATATGTTGGTGAAGTATAAGAGGAGAGTAAGCATTTTAGGTCTTTTGATTAGGTCTCAGTTTTGTACTGAGCCTGTAGTGAGCTTCACAAGTGTTTCTCAGTTTCTTCAAGCCCCTTAGGGGGGACAAGATGGCTAGAGTGGGCTGGAGTTGGGTCTTTCCTTTTCCCTGGTCAGTTAGGCTCTGATAATACCCCAGCAGGTTAGGCTCTGGTTAAATGGTTTCTCCTTGAAGGCAGGGCTTGTTGAGAAGAGCAAAGTTCTCTGACATATTTCAGAATGGTTCCTCTGACATATTTCAGAATGGTTCCTTTTCCCCACCCTGCCAGAAACATGAGAGGATTTTCTCCAATATTTACTGTGAAACCCTGGGTAAAATTCCTAGAGGTAAATCTTACAATACTGTGGAGACCTCTTGTGGGGATCTAAGAAGAGATGTTGATTTCTCAGTCTGTTCAGCTTTTTACTTGTTAGGACTGTGTGTCAACTCCCAAGTTTTTTTGCATGTACAAACAGAAACCAGAACTCTAGTGATTTTTCTTTCTTTCTTTCTTTTAGTTTTAGAAGAAAATATTGACTATCTTTATGACCTGGAGTAGAAAGGCTACCTTATTCCACACACAAATAATGTTGACCATAAAAGAAAACAATAAAACATTAGAATTACAATTAAGGACTTTTCTTCTCCAAAAGACATTATAAAGTGAAAAGACCAGCTGTACACTGGAAGAATATATTTTCCACACACCACAATGAATTGGTTTTCAGAACATGTAAAGAACAAATTGAAAAAGAAAAAAACTTTAATAGAGAATGCATAAAAGATAATTTTCGATATTTCACAACAGAAAAACACTAATATCTAATAAACACATGAAAAAATGCTCAAAATCATCAGTAGTCAGGGAAATGCAAATTAAGATCACATTGAAGCAATGTTTTATACCTATTAGAGTCACAAAGAAGTTTGCCAGTACCAAGTGCTGATGAGGATGTAGGTCATTAGGAATTTTTATATATTGCTGGTTGGACTGAAAATGTATACATCCACCTTGGAAAACAAGTTAATATTATCTTTGTAAGCTGAATATGCATATATTCCATAACTTAGCAATTTGACTTCTAAGTATACGCCCTAGAAATACTCTTACATGTTGTATGAAAGACAGAGAGACAAATAATTTATTGCAACTTTGTTCTTAAAAAACTGGAAATAACACAAACATCTCTGGAGTTAGATAAAAATATTATAGTATATTCCCATAGTGGAATATTATATAGCAGTGAAAATAAATGAACTTCATCTATATTCTTAATTATGGATGAGTGTTAGAAATACAATGTCGAATGAAAATATCAAGTTGCAGAAGAATAAATACATTATGATACAATTTCTATATAAAGTTTAAAAGGAAGCCAAGTAGTATATTGCTTAGTATATGTGGTAAAATTATTTTTAAGCAATGGGATGATAAACACAGGATTGAAGATAGAGGTTACCTCTGAATGAGATTGTTCAGGAAACACACAGGAAGTAGAAATATTCTAGTTTTGGGGTTAGGTAATAGGTTCTCATTTAATTATTAAGCTTCAAAACTCCCATATGTATTATATACTTTTTTATGTTTCAAATATTTCATAATAAGACAAGAGAGAGAGTAGGCTTTTCAGATTTATCTCCGGAAGGCAAGACTGTGCCCTGATCTAGGTGTCCTTATGACTAGGAAGACAGAATAGAGCAGAAAACACAGGCTTGAAGGGTAGTGAGATCCCTGAAAAGATGGGAAACAGAGGGGCAGGAGGAAACTTTTGGAGATGATGGTTATGTTCATCATCTTGACTGTGGTGATGGTTCTTAGATGTATACGAATGTCAAAACTCATCAAACTGTACACTTTAAACACATACAACTTTATTGTACCAATAAAGCTATTAAAATCAAAAGACGAGAAGAGGTTGAAGCCAAGTTCCTCTCTGCCCTGAACAATGAGCTAAGTCTGTCTTGCTCCCAAGGGAGGACTGCGGGACAGTGGAGCATTCCCCCAGGCTCTCCCTGCCCCACAGTTTCCTCCTCTCCTGGAGGGATTAAGAGGTGCATTTTTTCTTGCAGCATAATAAAAATAAACTTATTTCTAAAAAACTGTTTGATGAATTGTTGGCTTTACACCGTTGAGTGAACCCAATTCTATAAAGGTCAGGTACTGTATTACGTGAGTGAGTTATCTAGAATTTGTTCTTCAACAAGTTGAAAATTTTAAGATAAAATAAAGTGAATATTCCTGTATAACATAAGCCTTATTTTGATCTTACAACCTATATGACTTAAACAAATACCCATATATTTGAAGTGAAGATTTCCTGACGTTAAGTTATCCTTGAACGCTAGATGGTGTGGTGAGACCCATCCTTCCGAACGAAGAACAGCACCAAAACAAGAAGCTGTGTCTTGGGAACCACTAAGAAGTCCTGTCTAAACTGGAGCGAAGGCCTCAAGAATTTTTATTGCACTTTTAAAAGTCAGCCTTGTTAACACAGAAAATAAGGATGGATTTTGTGAATAGTTGGAAAAAATATTTTAAGAAAGCTTATTTATTACTAGCTTATGAATGATGTTAATGAGAATATTTTTATTTGAGGTTTATTTGTGTGTTTTCCAGAAAAAAATGCTGGTTTTTTTATTACACTAAATGAGGTAGCAGTAATTGAATGACACCAGTTTAATTGCCCATAGGGAGTGATTTCTTCATGTCTTAGCTTTATATGACCCAGTATGAAAGGGGTTGGTTCACTGGAGGTCACACCTTAGCAGAGAATCACACACTTTTTAAGAAATATTAATTCCTTTGGATTACAGTGGTAACAATTAGTAAACTACTCCAGGGAAATAAATGACAACTTGGCCATTTTTAAGAGTCAGTGTATGGATCACCAAAAGTTCACATTTATACTCAAAGCTTGCTAATAATCAGAATTTCTTTAACTAAGACTGAATCATAAAAACAAAGTTGGCGGACCTGAGCTTCATTATTAAAAGTATATTTTTTAAAATGTTATTAAATCTTCCAATAAGTAGAAATTACAACAATTTGTAGGCTATTACATCACTGATTTGGGGTAGCAATAGTAAAATATTATTTTGAGACGGTATTAATTCTATAGCACTAACTCGAAATCACTAACAATGAACCTTAAATTTGGTTTTGATCTTAACAGAGAAGAAATATTTAGTTTGCAATATTAAAACTAATTTTTCAGAATTCCATTAATAGACGCTGCCCATTTTTCCCTTCATCTAAGTAATACAGAATATTTCATGGTTTTGAATGCAAGGCCTTTTAACAACATTTGCAAACCTTAAGAATACTGAGTCTTGAAAGTAAACTTTATGGTCAGTTCAGTTACATTCCAAACAGCCCTTCAGGAGTCATCTCATTTTTTTTTTTTTTTTTTTTGAGGAACTTTCAGAAAATTAGTCCAAAGATGAAGTTTCCTGTTTTATGCTTTCTTAGAGTTGGGCAGGGAGTTGCAGTGGCCCGTGGACCTCAGGCCTGGGGTGGGACGTTCTGTGGAATGACTGTGGAGAGAGGTAGTCAGGTTGGCCTCTGCTGTCCTTTCCTTTCCATGATATTGCATGGCTTCACGAGGCCTTTTACCGGTTTCTCAGAAGTGCACAGGACAATCCAAGAGTTGACCAGATGCCCTTGCTTGTACAGCAGGTTGCTTAGGTCCACTGGGAATTCAAAGTCATCATACCAGGCAGTTAAGAACTGCCATAAACATTTTAACACAAGACTAGGGAGTGGGACAGAGAGGGAAGAGACGAGAGGAGCCCTTAGAGATAACCAATGCTTAAGCTCTTTAATATTTACCAACATGAAAACACTGAGATTTGCTTATATCTCCCCAACTGCTTTTGCATGTTAATCATATGTGCTTAAGTTTTTCTTAGATTTACTGTTTTTTACTAATATGTCAACTACATCAAATATTTTCTAAATCAATTAGTAAATATTTTGCAAGACCCAAAGTCCTGGAATACTGCCAAGTTTATAGATATATGTGTTGGGTTTTGGGGGTGGAATTATCAGTAGGGAGAAACATACAAATGGGAAAAGCTATGATTAGGAAATAAAAAATTGATACTTCTATAGCACTATTAAAATGGTCATAATAATGCCATTTTCCTCTGCACAACTGGTCAGATTTCATCATTTATTAAGAGCTTATAGTATCAGAAGGAAAGCTCAATGAGGGTGGGGATATATATACATAAAGTTTTTGTTGTTTTTTGTTTTTTTTTGCTGAACCCAGTGTCTGCAACAGTGCCTGGCATATAACAGGCATTCAGTAAATATCTGCTGGACACTGGCTAGACCCTGGAGATGAGATGTATAAGAAATGCTCTCTGACCTCAAGAAGCTCACAGTGTAGTGAAAGATACAAGCAGTAATGAAGTGATAGAGAACGATTCTCAGAGTCGGGTCTCTGTGCCAGTGGCATCGCATCACCTGGGGCCCAACCAGAGCTGCTGAATCAGACACTGGGGTCGGAGCCTGGCGGTCTGTGTTTAACAGGCCCTCCAGGTGATTCTCATGGCCTAAGGTTGAGAACCACCCTGTGGATGTAACTATAGGAGCAATGGTGGCACAAAAGAGGACAAGTGCACATTCCAAGGAGTCATGGAGAAATGGCCTCGCAGAAGTGGAGGTGTTTATGCTGGGTCCCGAAGGGGCCCGGGAGGCTGCAGGCAAACAGTGGAGATGAGAGAGACTTCCGAGAGAAAGTGATGGAGGCAGGTGGTTGCACCGGGAAGCAGGAAAGGGTGGTGACAGGGGGATGTGCACAGAGATTGCTGAGCTGCTCAAGGACCCCCAAGATAGCGGTGTTGACTAAGATCTAGTAATTATCCCTTAACCTGAGAAATCAGAACTGGCTCTTAAACAATAACACATCTTCCTTACTTTCAAAGCTTGGGAGAATAATAGTAAAGGCATAATTTGTAAAGAATAGCTCTGCATTGTTTACTGCCAAGTGAAAATAGAATATGCAGACATGCAGTGGGATGAGCGAGGGCCTGGTGCAAGCCACGCCTGCCATGTCGAGTACACACAGGTTTGAGTGTGTTGTTTCATTGTGTTACTGCTGAAGCTTTTATCTTATCTAGCTTTTCTGTGAGTTCTTCTCCCTCAGTTAGTTTGCAAACAAACCCGTCTCTCATAAATCTTCCTCATTTCCTGCATGTACAGTTCTGCTTTGAGATCTGCCATGACAATCTGCTTCTGATACACAAGTGGCATTAAACACCAATTTTTTTTAAGTTCTGGTTTTGTCGATAGTTACCACTTGGCATTTAGCTGAGACCATTACCATTGCTCTCTGGGATTAAGCGTAAATTTAGTACCTTTATTTCATGTGTAACATTCCTGAAGCCTTTTCATTTTTATTTTTTATTTTTTTGCCATTTTAAATTATATTTTAGACATAAAAAAGTATAAACACATAGTTATAACAAACACTCATATGCCCGATATAAAGAATTAATGTATAACCTGGAGTCTTCATTATAGGTGATTTAGTCCTCTTTTGGGATTTAGGTGAGAGCTTTATTTTGCATCTTTTCTACTTTTGCTTTTGAGGGCACATCCTGGATTCCTGGAAGAAAGTCCTTGGTCACTGCAGGGCTATAGTGTTTCAGAAGCCAGCCAAAGAGCCCCTCGGGACTGTTACCAAGCGCTGAGTGCACCTCCTTCTGAGAGACTTCATAGGCAGTCTGTTTTATTACTGTTTGTCTGTCCTGTTTCTTCATTATTCTTGGCCTGTGATACTGTTCCTTATAGGAAGAGATAGCCTGTTGCTTTAGTCTGTGTAGCCCACTTCTGGCCACCAGAGCCAGTTTTTGAGGGCTTTCTAACTTCTTTGTAAGCTGAGCAGACTGGTCTCCTACCAGTTGTACAACATAGTAAAGGAAGCGTCTTAACTGGGTAGAGGAGGACTGCCTCAGCCACCCAGGAAGGGGTCTTTGAGTTGTGGCTCAGCCCCTGTGTAACCTACTGACTCTGAAACTTAGGCCTCTGTTGTTTCCAGCCAACACGTAAATGTCTGGGGCCATTGATCCAGCTCCTGAGATGCCAAACTCTGTGCTAGGCTTTCAGCTCAAAATGGAGACAGTATAATTTTTTTTGGATACTTTTTTAAATAGAGGAAATTGAATTTTCACTGTTAAATTTCATAAATTGATTAATGGGAAGTTTAAAAAATTTGTCCAGTAGCAGAGTGAAAAAAGTTTTTTTATATTCTAGAGTCGACAGTTTACCTTTACTTCCTAGCACAAGTATAAAGCTATGAGTTATTGAGAATTCTACCTGAGTGATACACCTGGAAATCCTTTACTGATATTCTAGAGCAGTCGTACTGCCTTTGCTAGGATTTTGTCTTTTTTTTTTAATAACAAGAAAATCAACATAGATGAGGGGTTCTCAAATGTTGGCACTATTGACATTTGGGGCCAGATGATCCTTTGCTATGGGGGTTGGGGGGAGGGCTGTCCTGTGCATTTTGGACTGTTGAGTTGCATTTCTGGTCTCCACCCACTAGATGCCAGTAGCAGCTCCCCACCCAGCTTGCCAACCAAAAATGTTCCCTAAGGGGCAAAGCCACCCTGAGCTGAAAGCCACTGATACAAACCATCCAGTGAGTATAAGTGTATATTTTGCTACACGTGCCAATACTGTATCAGACTTAAGGGCCATTTCATCTAGTATGACACCTAAGGCTTTTTTTATAGTCAGGTACCAGAGTTTGAGGATGACAAATTCCACTGTATCATCTTCAGATGTCTTAAATAAATTAGGTTTATGGTGGATGAGTCAAAAGCAATTTGCAATTTCTTACTTCTCCAATTTTTATTTAGAGGGGTAAAAATTATAACCTACAGCTTTTGCTTAGTTTGTTTGTTTTTTAGTTTACTGATACATATGAATCAGTCAGACCATTTTGTAAACATCTTCGACATGCAATAACATTGTCTACCTGTTTCCAAAGGATAATGGAAGATCTACAGAGTTGCTGCACCTATCTGGGCTATACATCAATCAATCAAAAGTTCATTTGTGGGGTGGGGTTTGGTCACAGCTGGATGTTATATAGAACTAACCTGACTTGCTGCCCCCTAGAGCAGGGAAGTGAATCTATTATATCTGCATCCCAGTATAGGAAATGGAATTACCTACCACATCACCTTAGGTGGCCTACATGGCTCATTTTGCAAGGAGAGAGCAGTGTTCAGCATGATCAAATTTTCTTGTATCAGCATTTGATATGTATCTTAAAGTGATTGATATTTTTAGTGCAATTACTGTTGACTATTAAAAATCCAGTGAATCTATTTAATATTGTACAGAATTTTTCTGTTGTTTAGGCTGATTTATTAAATATACTTCCTCTAAGTAAAAAAAAAAATGAACCCATTTATCATTATCAGTTGAAAAAGAGGTCCATTTTAAATGGAATACCCTATGCATACTTTAATTTAGAAGCTGGTCCATAAATATGTATTTACTGTGTTCAGTGAACAGCATTTAAGTAGACTCAGATTTCAAGGGATCTTAGATCTCTTCTGTTTAGCATACTCCTTTTACAAACCTGGAAACGCAAGAGTCTGGAAGGTGAAATGACTTCTTAAATACTAGTTCAGCATGTGTCAAGGGCCTAATCAAGTATTATCAGCATTTTTTTTCCACTTTCAGTTTTCTTTTTAATGTAAGTGTACATTTGTCCTATACATGTTGATATATTGGCTGATTGTAACATGTTTGTGATAGTAATAAATTCAAGGACCTTCATTATTGTACATTTAGTCATTTTTAGTAAAAGTATATCTACACATATTAAATGGACAAATAGCTCTGTAAATCTTACTTTGAAACAGTATTTTCCCTCTATCCTACATATCACCCCTACCCAGAGGCAACCAGGTTCAACTATTCTAGTTGA